CCGTACTGTCAAACGGAGAATTCGACGCTTCCGGCAAGTCCACGCGCATGTGTGTGTGTGTGTGTGTCAGCGTTAAGAGGGTGTTATTTTGTACTTGAGCTCTAACGGTGTGTACTTACTGTACGCGGTTGGTGTTCAATTTACGAGGTAATTCTCTCTGTACCTTACATTGCAAACTATACACTTTTCGTGCTCTTATGCGGTGAATTACAATCACGGGAACACATGTTTTAGAGCTTTTTTTTGTCTTCGCTCACTCTGTGTACAGAAAAGAATATCGGTAAGAAATGAAAATGAAAAAATAAAAAATCTCAGTTACCCATCATCAGTCTGATGATTAACAAACAGGACTTATGTGTAGCTAATGTACGTGTGTGTTATATTTATAGGGATAATCATTTTGATGAACCGTCTAAAACCGGTTGTAACTAATGTATAAATTACACATTAAGCCATAACCGGTTTAAATCGGTATTACGATGATACACAAATGTATACGTATATTATCACCTCGACGATTCATTTTCTCTCCCTCTCTCCGTCTCCCAATACAAAATTCACCATCACGTAACACAGACGCACACTACGCGTCACCGAGGTATAAATATTATATATAAAAGCGAAAGCTCACCATCGCACGCGGGGAGTCTATATATCTTTAAAAGTGTCTGCGAAAATTGGCGTCGCGAGGCCTTGCGCCCGTAGCTCCCACCTCCCTTCTTCCCTCAACGTATACGTATAGGTATATACGCGGCTCGTCAAGTACTTGGCAAATTTAAACAATGGCTTTCGACTGGCGTATAACTCATACATGGGGAAATCTACAAATAACATCCCGTTTTTGTCCCCAATTTATAGTACATGACATTGCCAGCAACAAAAAAGCCCCATCCCGAGGGTGTGCCTCAAACAAAATTTTTATTCAAAAATCGGGGACGAATACGGGGGGTATTTTTTTTTTGTGGATTTCGTTGTATGTACACTATACATGCAGACTGCAGCGCGGGTGTCCATTATATATTTATTACAATAGCTCCAGTCCGGCGCTGAGACGGTCTATTACGCAATATTGTTGTACATCATTCTATATATGCGCATAATCGAATAACGAGCCATGTGTGTTATGAATGTAAAAGTATAAATGCAAGGCGAAAGGCAAAAATTTTCCTGCGACATAAAAAAATCAACAAAGTAGCTGATCTTTTACTTAAAGAATAAAGCCATGGAGACACAATCGACCCACACGTGCATACTCTCGTAATGTAAGTATTACAACAATCAACTTTAAAGTTAAACGTAATTATAGTTGATGGCTCAATCAACAAGCGTAAATCACTCGTTTTTTCCTGATTGCACGTATCGAGACATAAATTGTTATTGTGTGAAAAAAAAAAAAAAAAAAAAAAACGCGTAAAAAAGTTAGCACGAGCTCTTTTTTTTTATCGCCCTACCTCCGAACTTCGCTGTCAATTGCGAGGACTGTATCTCCAAGTGTTACATCACAACTGGAGCGTAATTGACATTACACATTTCTCGGGCAGAAAGTGCGAGTATCGGATATCGGAGGCTGCGTGGAGACGATTTGTCTATAGTTTGACATGAACCTTGAATAAGTTTCATTATGTACATGGGATACACTTGAGTAAACTCTAATGAACAACTTGATCAACTTTTTCTTATCCATTCCAAGTACAACGTAACAGGACCCGAGTTTTCTTATATTTTGTAAATCAACCGAATAACCATTTGCTATACGTGATTTATCATACCTCCCCATACTTGGGACATGTTGCGCTAAATACCTTATACCTACGTCACGTGGCCAAACTTTTATCGGTACGAGAAAGTATATGAGTATAACAATACAACGGATAACTATACATCTCGAAAATCACTCGGAGAATCCGTGTATAGGTACGTGTACCCATATCGTTTGATTTTCAATATAGTGGGTACGAGGCAAATATCGCAAAATTCAGCCAATGTACGTACCTATACGTGTGTTTGAAATGGCTCTCTGTGCAGCGATACCTCGTGCACACGTGCTCATATAAATAATACAAAATGCGAGTAACACATGCAACAATATAAGTATAGGTACGTGGGTAACGCGCGAACGTATGCGTGATTAACCGGAGTTTAGGAGCTGCATTGCCAACACACGTGTACATAAATATATATTATATGCATGTAGCGCAAAGTTAATGGCCCACAAGCGTAACCTTAATAATAACCCCAACAACAATAACAACCTCAACACCAACGAGACATCTATATACGTATATACGCGTGTGTGTGTGTGTACGATTCGCTATCAAGCTCCAACAGCACACGCGAGAGCTTTTCCCGGCTTATTGGTGCAGGTTTGGTGTGTACATATATATAATACCTATGGCTCGTGAATCGTTAAGGTGCGATACGATCGGTACAGCGTATATATGTACCTATACTCGGCGTATAGCGATGAGTGCCTGAATAATCAGCGCGATGGTTCAACGGGGAAGCTTTCGGTGTTTCGGATGAGCTGTATTAATTGTGGTGGTTTGCACGACGGGCCGATTGATTTGCGCGAGGATTACGGAGAGATAAAACGATATTAAAACGAAATAAGAATACTGTTGTGTGGGTATTTGTGCTGTCGTTGCGATTGCTCGATCGCGACCTAATTAGAAAAAAAAAAAAAAATAAAAAAATAACGCGTTGGCTGTACATCTTTCAAGGGGGGCAGGTCAATGCCGAGGCCGACACTCCACGACCAGCCGTGCCTCGTTGTCCAACTTTGCTTCGTTCCGCTTCGTTATCATTATTATTTTTCACCCATTCGGATGTTATTTCCCGGACGGCGGGTCTTAATTAGCAGATACTCGGGGATATTCGATGAGTATAAGTGCTGGAGATGAGTAATTTTTTTTTCTTCCATGAAATACAAAAAAAAAAAAAAAAAAACAACAACAACAGAAAGACACAAATGTTTTTTTTTTTTTTTACAGCACCTTCGGCTGTTGGCAATTGATCGGGTTATATTGTCTAATTGCGGGACAACGATTCCGTAATTGAGCGTCTTTTGTCCGACTAAAGAGGCAACGATAATCCAGAGGGAGGGAGATGGCGGACGTGCGTGATATAATAGCCCTGGCTCGCATCCTGGAAAAGCCTTGAAAACTGAAAATTCCCATTAATGTAAGGCTCGATCGCTGGCACCTAATGGAGAAGCAAGTTTCTCTAAATTGGCTAAACGATCTCTAAAGACACACACACCAGAAGCGCCGGTGACTTTTGTACACAGAGGATGATGATGATGATCATCTCGAGGAATAATCATCCGATTAAGACACGACGTGCGTAAACGTACGTGCAATGTGGGTATGTGTCACAGAGAGGCGATACGTGTAATTTGACGCGCGACGCTTGACAGCCACACTATACTGCTGGTCGCAGTGTCCCATTGTTATTTTGACCATAGGCTCGATAGGTATATATGTATGTATCCATGTGGAACCAAGGAGATTATGTAATTCGAGATGATTTCTGTGTAGCGGTTTATAATGGCTTGAGACATTACATATTATATGCACAGCGGGTCGGAGGATGGATTGTGGTTGTCTTATACATTTTGTGCACGATATCTGTTGATTGTTTGGTCGAGCCGATTGTAAGCGTACAGCTGTTGCCGGTCTGTTGATATTTATGCACCGATACCAAGCGATACCAACGCGTAGCGGGAGCACAGAGAGAAATCGATACGGCTGATAGGACTCTTTTTTTTCCAGAAAAAACCAAGCGTGAAATTGATGGATTGGTATAGTCGAAAAAAAAAAAAAAAAATGTATTTGTTGAGAGGATCGAGACCAAGGGCCCAAGGGGTTTGGAATCCTCTGGATGTGCTTTTGACGCGCCTGTCAAACGTATACATATATACGCTGAATCGGTAAGCTCAACCACCCATCCCCACTGGTACGTATAATATGTATATACGAATCCTGGCTAATTATCTGTTTACTCAGCCGCGCGTCTGCAAATGCATGTGCAATGTGTGTGTATATATATACATCGTATCGATTATCGGCCTTAATGATTAATTGCTTCGATCTGTCACTGTTTTTGTGCCTGTATATACATATACGTATCGCGAAACGCGTAAGTGTTTTCTAATTATTTTTCGATGAATATTCATTGTGTCCGGCTGACTTGGGAAAGCTCTGATCGCTACGTCGACACCTTCGGGTAAATACGCTTGATCCAAAGCCAAATTGTATACGTTGCGACGAGTGCATATTTATGTATTGTTAAAGAAAATAACAAAATAAGGTAAAAATGTCAAACGATTGAGCAAAAAAATTGTGTCCCTGGTACACAACCACATATACACATATATAATGATAAATACATTCATAGCAACCGGTACGGCCGGATTATCGGAGTTTTAAATCCCCTTTGACTGTATAATGTATTTATATTGTACTCCGGGTACCGTTGCCAGAGTATAATCCACCGCTAGCCAGAGCCATTTTAAAGTTTTTCTTGGAGGGAAAAAATAAACAAAGAAATAAAAAAAATAAATAAATAAAACAAAAAACTGCAGTTTCGCCCGAAGTAGATGTAAGGCCGATTTCCCTTGTTTTCAAGTTTGAAAAAATTAGCGCTCAAGGAGCTCTGTGTGTATCATCGTTTGCGTGCCGCTATAAATCGAGTTTGGAGGGCGATTCAGCGCTTTTCCGATACTTTCGCTTAACTGATCCATAGTTTGTTTCGTACGTGTATACGCGGAAGTTCGATACGCCAGAAAAAAAAAATCAACGTGAAAACGCGTATGGCACACTCGAAACAAATAAACAAAAATTAACCGTTGCTTGATATGCCTCATCGATATAGGTGCCATTTTATGCAAATAACGAGCACAGATGGAAGCGCAACTCTTCGAGAACCATCGATGTAAAAAATTGATTTTTCGGAAGGAAGAAAGGCTCAGCCCCCTCCGCCCCGGTATCTGGGCTAATTACGTATGACTTGCACTTGTCTTATCGACTCTCTCCACTGATTACACCTGCGGATCCTTGGAGCTTCCTTTGGTTTGTAAAATTGTATATGTTTTGCATCTATATGGATATTTTCTAATTCAGGACTAAAAGAAAGGTATATGCCATTGGGTTCAGAATGCAACGCGGTAATGCGAAAAGGAAAAAGGAAGCAGCACAGGCGTAACAAAGTTTTCAGGTATCCGCAAAGCAGGTCAGTTTCAGTTTGTTAGATAATGTGCACCGTCAGTTCGCTGATGAGGGGAGGGGAGGGGGGAGCGGAGAGAGAAGAGGGTAATTATATAAGGAAATCCAGGGAAAGGGCGTGTATATATACGAAGCAGGGCAATATCGGTATACGCGTGTTTACCCTCCTGGGCTCGTTTTACTCACGGTAGACGCGCGGGGGGTAAATTACTCGGTCGTTCGATACAATGGCCTATACGACCAAGAGAGAGAGAACGGCACCGATGCTGTTTCTCGTTTTTTCTTTTTCTTTTTCTTTTTTTTTTTTCCAAGTTTCACTCCTGAATGACGTCATGGTTCGAGGCTTTGTGCGATTATCAATATTGCAACAATTACTTATACAATTGCGTCGAGACAATTAGACGTTATGATCTCAAGATATTGGTCATTTGTGCACTGTACACGTTGAGCAAACTTTTTGTTTTTACGTACAAAAAATCATTTTAAAAAATGTTTATCGCAAAATCAAGCTCGAACGGACAAGTAAACTTGATATACACTTTTTGTTAATCCAAACAAATGGATTGTAACGTATGAATATTTTTTCTCAAAAATACACATCATGTATAGCGATAAATCAGTGAAAATCACACAAAGATACCCAATTGACTTATCGTTCGAGTGCCGTTTAAAAATAGCACACACAGCAAACTTTCTTCCTTGAAAAAACGATTCGGCTTTTATCGCTAAATGCGCGCATAGTTTTCGACCAAACTACATCTGCGCTCGAACTAACTCACTTTTTCTAGATTATATTATACTTATCGATAAAATTGACAGTTTGGAGGCCGCGAGCCTCATTCGATTGACAAATCGGTATACATCGGGTACAAACGCCTACATCATCGCTTTATTCGCACACTATATTTAAAAATAATTTTAAAAAATTTTTAAAAATACCCGCAATATAGCAAGTGTAAATTGTATATTGCGTTGATTAATCGGAGCGTAAAACTCACCGAAAACTGGAGCAAGGATGTATGACCCAATGGCCGGCTGCCTTTTGCCGGATCCTCTCCTTCATGAGGGCCTTTTTGCTGCCAAACAGCTTCATCGCCAGCTTGTTGTCCGTTGGCTGGAACAGGGCCTGCAGTTGGTTCTTGATGAAGCTCTGCTTGACCTCTTGGCCAGGCAGGCCCGGGCCCAGCTCCTCCTTCGGCGTCCCGTAGAGGGAGACATCGTCAACCCCGAAGTGGACCTTGCCGCTTCCCTTGTAATTCATTTCGTTGCCTGTGGATGCCAAATGAGAGGGGGGGGGATGGCCGTTATATTTATACTACATATACTTGTCGAGAAAAGGAAATCATTGTGTGTATGATAAATGTACGATCACGTGTCAACCACACATTTATTACTACGTGACTTATTGCTGATGGGTAATACCGAGTGCAGCAGGACATGTGTGTCTATGTGTATTATGCATGTACATAGCTGTTTGTTGAAGTGGCCGAAGTTTACGATGATAACGATTGCACAGGGAAACGAAGATGCAGGCACGTGGAAGTGCGTAGGGATTGAAGCTGCGTTGAAATTCCGGAGCGAGTGATTCACTCGGTGAAATTTCCGAGAAAAAATAAGGCGAGAGACGACGTTTACGACGCTCCCGAGAGAGCCCCCTTTTGCCGTCGCATCTAATTGTCCCGGAAGATTTTGCTCATGGCTGTACAACGAATGCTCGTGGTTTTTGTTTTTTTTTCTTCCTTTTGTAATGATGTCACGAGTTGCGCGAGCAACGTAAACGATGACTCAGTGACAAAATAACACGTGCAATTACATACCTGCCGCGGTGAAATAAACGTTGAAACGCGTTTGTTTTAACGAGAATAAGATATATCGGCGAAATCGGCGTTATTGGCGACGCGCACGCGAAATCGTTAAGTTTAATTGTTCGGATGTTTACGAAACGATGCATATACAGTACGTATACCTGGGAGGATAACTTTGAGTTGTCCCATTGTCTCTGAGATTTGATTTTTTTTTTTTTCCTCAGGATACTTATACATATGCTGTATAAAAAGGCTTTGCACGTTGCGCTGCATTGACATATTATATACCTGCATGCACGCGCGGCTTCAGACTCACTTGACCAGCTTGAAGTTCAAAGCGCGCGAACCGGAGGAAAATGTAATGCAAGGCGTCACACGCGCGCGTACGTATAGGGTTTAAAAGCTGGTAACTCGCGTATAGGCCCGTTTGTGTGGCGGGAGCGGACGAACCGAGGGCCATTAAAAAATTACCGCGTTACCCTCTTATATATAAACAAAAAAGAAAAGAAAAAAAAAAAAAAAAAGTTGGACGGTAATGTATCGCTGCCGCCGTTAAAGAAGCCCCGTTAGTCAAAGAGGGAAGCATCCATCCTCTGAGTAACACTGCGTTATGCTGATGGGCCTAGAAACTGGGGCGAAACCTGCTGGCCGACTCTCTCTCTCTCTCTCTGCTCGATAAATATATTTTACGTGTGCAAGTCGTGTGAATGTAGTGGTGTGTATGTGTGTATAAGTAGTTTGAGCCTCCTTTTTCCTCGTCTCTGTCCGCTCCGCGTATTTGTGTGTGTGTGTATGAGAGGAAAGGGAAAAGCTGATGGCGTTTCGATGCAAATTCGACTTTTTTTCGCGAAATAGACTTGTGAATCGATGAAAAAACTTTTCTTCTGCTCATTCGGGTTGTGGCTTTAGAGGTGTATCGTTTATGTGTTAGACGCAGTGGTTTATCGGCGTCGAAGAGTATACATATAGTTACACGGAATGTAGGCAATTGTACTTGGGCCGAGAGGTCGTTTATTCGTTTGCTCCTTAGTACCGCAAGGACTGGGGCACAATTATTTTTATGGTTTTTTCTAACGCATTGGAAGACAAATTTTTTCCTCTCAAATAAATTATTGTTACAGGAAAAAAAATTTTTTTTCTTTTCTTTTTAAGTTGTAGATGTGTTATTGTTGATTGTAAACTATTTAAAATCAAATACATTGTAAGTAAAAGGTTTTTCTTTTATCTTTCCTTTCGTAAGTATCAACAACACGCTTTAGATGATAAATGAGCCCCGGAAATTGTTCTATTCCCGCGTATGTCTTGGGTGCATATAAAAATACGGTAGGTTTTTTTTATCAGAGGGAGAAAAAAAAAGGTTGGCATTTGAAAATTTCAGTGTGGACTTGTACCACGACGACGTAACATACGTTGGGGCCGAAAAAACAACGAAAGAGTACAAACGTACATCAAGCCGGTTAACGATATTTTGACGATTTCTTCATTTGCATTTCGTCGCGAATTAAACAAAAACCGTCACCTACTTTTCGCCGAGGCGGTAACTGCACCCCGGGATTGATTGATGCTGCTTATATCCTTAAAACCTCATTTCAGCGAAAGGAAAAAACAGGGCAGAGAAAAACCCTTCGTTGCATGGTAAATCTTCCGCAAGAAAAATCACCATTCAACGACCGATGACGTAAAAAAAAAAAAAAAAGTGCACGATCGGTAGGCATGTACATGCGAGTCACAAACGCGTATGTGTATACACATAACTGTCGCTCATCCAGAGGATAATTTCGTTACATGTCGCGTCCGCCCGTACTTATATACTTGCCCACACAATGCACGCTCGAAAATCGCAAGAGCATACGAATCGAGCGTACACTCGCGATTATTTCGCCAATTTAGCGCCGGCAGTTCACTCGTGCGCGTATATATATATATATGTGTGTTCCGTCGTTTTCGATGGGTCGGAATTTATGTAAGCCCCAAGTTCTCGGTCATAGGCAAACGGAGCCTAGCGTGTCGCGAATCACTGTGTTTTTTTTTTTTTTTTTTTTTTTTTTTCTCCTTTAATTTTTTTTTTTTTTTTTTTTTTTTTTTTGGATTTTTGGTTATTTGCTTTCCGCGCGCGCTTTGTTGAACAAATTTTTTCCGCGACAAGAGTTACGCCGGGAGGCTTTTGGAACGAAACTCTGGCAATTATCTCGCCAAATGGAATATAAAAGGTGTGGGAAAATAAGTGGCGTGTGGGTGTTGATAGTGGCCGCGTTATTTCAAGATTTGGTGGTTTATTGGAGGAGCTTAGACCGAGTAAATGAGCGTGTCTATACACATTTTTGAGCGATTGTACAAGAACTTGTTATCAAAAGTGATTAAATGAGACAATAAGTAAATAAGTCGTTTTCTTTCAAAGATTTCCAACAACAACTGACATTAGAGACTGTTACCACAAGTATGTATGTATATTATTATAGGTACAAAATGTAAAAAAAAAAAATGTCAACCAGTAGCGTGTACGTTTTCGATACGTGAATCGAGTGTTTTTATCCATTCGTTTGATATTATTGTAAAAAAAAAAAAAAAAATTAATTATCGCTGGAATGTTGTAGTGGAAATTACTGCGTGTATCACTGGTTGGATAACAAATTCAAACTCTGTCGGCAAACAATGTATATATATATATATATGCATATATGTTAAAAAAAAAAAAAAAAAAAACTGACCTGTATCGCCGAGAAAGTCGCTAATGAGGAGGGTCTCGTCGTCTAAAGCGGTGACGAGGCTGTCGGTGCAGGTGTTGGTGTTCTCGATGCTGATCTTGATGCTGTCATCCTTGTTCAACCTCGGATGATTGTTGTTGTTGTTGTTGTGGTAGCCGTTACCGTGAGCGCCGAGGTAGTGATGGGGCGATCGCACGGACTCGGTGCTGCTCGTGTGCAATCCGACGCCCGTAGTCGGCCGCCCGTTCACCAACCTGAGGCTCGGCGCCCGCCGGCCGCCTCCCCCTCCGCCGCCGACCCCCGAGCCTCCCCGACCACCGCCCCCGCCGCCCTCAAATGTACGATCACGTGTCAACCACACATTTATTACTACGTGACTTATTGCTGATGGGTAATACCGAGTGCAGCAGGACATGTGTGTCTATGTGTATTATGCATGTACATAGCTGTTTGTTGAAGTGGCCGAAGTTTACGATGATAACGATTGCACAGGGAAACGAAGATGCAGGCACGTGGAAGTGCGTAGGGATTGAAGCTGCGTTGAAATTCCGGAGCGAGTGATTCACTCGGTGAAATTTCCGAGAAAAAATAAGGCGAGAGACGACGTTTACGACGCTCCCGAGAGAGCCCCCTTTTGCCGTCGCATCTAATTGTCCCGGAAGATTTTGCTCATGGCTGTACAACGAATGCTCGTGGTTTTTGTTTTTTTTTCTTCCTTTTGTAATGATGTCACGAGTTGCGCGAGCAACGTAAACGATGACTCAGTGACAAAATAACACGTGNAAAAAAAAAAAAAAAAAAAAAAAAAAAAAAAAAAAAAAAAAAAAAAAGCTACGAGTAATGCTCACAGCAATTTGCGCTTTTGTTTGACGGGGGCTTCGGAATCCGGACACGTGCGTTTTTGTTTTGTCCAGGCACCTGGATGGAAAATCACCTTCCGCACATACGTTTACTTACGTACAAATCTCAGTCGGTGGCTATATCCCGTATACGCACACTCTTGGCTCGCCTTGTCACATATAGCTCGATCCGATTGTTATTTATAAACACACACACACCTACACGAGAGATCGAAGATTAAAAAATATGACAATGGCACCACAGTTGTGGACAAGTAAAAAAAAAAAAAAAAAAAAAAAGGAAGACGGGCGCTTGCAAGTGATAGGTGTAGCTGGCCGAAATTTTTGGGACAATTTACTATCGAACGGTCATCGTTTTTTGTCCTGCGAAACTCTGTTGGGAGCACGTACATATATACCTGATCGGGCTCGGTTCTTTCCACCGATGAGTCGCTTGGACGCTGCTGCGCAGGACTTTTACGGCCCCTTTGAAATTTAGAAAAAAAAAAAAAAAAAAAAAAAATACACAAGCAGAGCCATATAACTGGAAAGGAGAAGATAAAAAACTCGACGCGCGCGATAAGAGGCAGGGGGTCTACCGTAAGATTAAAGAGGCGCCATCGAAACTTTTTCTAGCGTGGCGCAAGCGATATATAAGTGGAGGAAAAAATTTTTATCGAGGGTGTACATGTATATATATATATACGGATATGGGGGAAACGAGAAAGGAATAGCGTACACGGGGATGGTGTACCTGTTGCACACTCGCATAGCGTGGGGAGTTGATTAATCATTCCACGGTGCAGTCGCGTTTGAAAACGCGGAAAAAAGAGGTATTGGGAAAAGTTACTTTGAAAATATTGACTTTCCAGTTTGAGGCGTGGGTGTGTGAACATAATGTAATACACACGTTTGAGCTAAGCTGGATTATCTCGCATCTGCGTCACGAGTGTTGTAATACCCGGGAATAACAGAGTTTTCGGTCTCTTCTCCTACGAAAGGTATCGGACGTATACATACGCGGCGTTTATTTATCCAAAAGCAGGGCTGTGTTTGGCACGACTTTGATCGGATTAATCTTACGTACACATATACCTATACGCGCTATAATTATTGAGCCGTGTAATTGGGAATTGGGAAAGTATTCAAAGTTTGGATTGAGCTTTTTTTCCTCCAGAGGTCCATAAATAATAAAAATCATTTATCCACATGGATTCCGATGGCTAACGAGGCGCGGCCCAGTCGGTAGAGTTGTGGATCTCATTTGTGCCACACATGGCGCGGAAACGCAATTTATAGCACATACGGTGACTATCGACGGAATTTCCGAAACAGCGTCACAAAGACTCGAGTCAATAAATAATACATTAAGAAGCAACAACAAAATTACCACTCACAAGTACTTTTTTTTTTTCCCCTACAATTCATGCCAAACTTAGCTAGTCCTTACGCATAAAATAAATAGATGAAAAATATGATCGTAAGACCACAGTAATTGCTGATATTTTGTCGTTCTTCGAGCTAATAAACCTGAAAATGCCTTCCTCTTGAACCAATAAACCACCTCGTAAATTCGTCCAATAGAAAACGACCATACCCCAAGCGCAACTCAACCGAGGCTCACTTTCGCACGACATACACCAACACAAGCAGATTCGTCCCTTGGGATTACTCTGTACGTCCAATATAGTGTCTACATGTACGTTACATCGAGAGAACACGTTGCGGGCTTGCAACAGCTGCAGCACGCAGTGATAATCCAGAGCATGGGGGGTGCGTGTCTGGAAAATTGGATCGAGGTGCTTGATGATGATCAAACGCATAAGATGTAACATCCAAAATTCAAGGAAAATCCCGCACGTCTTTGGACATCATCGCGTCGACGAAATTTATGGGCATAAAGACGGAGAAAATTCTGCCAGCGCTGCTACACCCACTATCCTCGCAGTGCTCGTGTATACGAGGAAGAAAATTTAAGAAAAGAAAGAAACATTACTTTTTAAAAACCCAGAGCATTAATGAGCCCAGCATCCACACATGCACGGGTCGAGTAAAGTCGACGTGAGAGAGAGAGTACACATAGCCGCGAGAGTTGCACCGCAACTTGAACTAGACCCTCGTGCAGAAACAAGGAAAAAACAACAACAACCAGTACCTCTGATGCGCAATGTATATATTATGTATGTACAACGTACCGTCATCCCTTCAGCTATCTATATATATATATATATATATATATATATATATATATGTGTGTGTGTGTGTGTGTGTGTGTGTGTGTGTGTGTGTGTGTGTGTGTGTGTGTGTGTGTGTGTGTGTGTGTACGAGCAGCGTGACGGGCTCGTGCCGTCGCCCAAGAGCGACCTCCACTTAAAAATTTCTATTTCGAGCGGACAAACGAATGCAAGCATCAGGAAAGAAGAAAATGGAAAATAAAAGGCGCGAACAAACACACGCGCTCCCCTGTGTGCAGAGAGAGAGAGAGAGTGCAAAAGGAAAGTGCCCGGTGGAGGCTACCAACTTCTTCTATGAGTATGTATATGTACATGTGGGTACGTGTCGAGCTAAACCGTCGAGTGCTTGTCCACGTATACATGCATGGAGAGCTTTTGGTGCTTTTTTTATTCGCGCCAAGAGAGAGAGAGAGAGTGATAGGGAGGGATGGGGTGTGTCAAGGTTCGCTTCGGGACACTGAAATTAAAAACAGCGCCAATGACGAGTGGGGGCCATCATCATTATCATCATTGTCATTATACCAAAAGTCATCGGTGCACGTGTGTACGAGTGCTCGACAGTTCGACATTCTTTGGAAGGGATGTAGATCAAAGAGAACAAACACGAAGACGCGAGGGTGGAAGGGGCATGAATAAACGCGAGGGCTCTGGGGGCCATTGTGCTGGACACGTGTTCGGAAAGGATCGGAGAGGATGACTCGACGCGGCGTATCTCTCTCTCTCTCTCTCTCTCTCGTTGCATTGGGAAGGTGATTTTGTCAGCTCAAACGAAAACCCGTCTCTTTGCTTTTGTTCCGATGTCCGTAGTCGCACAGGTGTATTTGTATAAGTGGCCATTTTTTCCCCCGACACATGCCTTACTCTTCTTCTTCTTCTCCTCTCTTTGGGCGCCCCCAATCGATGCAGTTTATAGGTACAGCTGTGTACGGGTCGCGTTTATTTTCAAGGCCAATTCCCCGGCAGCTAAATTGTCGTGTTTACCATATTATACGGGCGGTAAGTGTACGCGGATGAATATTCATCGAGCCGGGGACCTTTTTCGCTTAATTTAGGGAATCCCCTTACCTTCCCGCACTCTCGAGCATTCCATCGCTAACCAATTACCCACGGAATTTCTTCTTAATTCCCATCGGCGGGTGCGCCACTTTCTTCGGATCCTCTAATTGGATTTTAAATTGCCACGCTCCTCTGCCTGATTATTTTTTTCCCTCCCTTGGTTGTTATCTTCCCCCAACCCCCCTTTTTTTCAAACAACGAGTTTTTTTAGCGCACGGCTATTTTTTTTAATTTTAATTGATTTTGGGCAAGGAGGGCCCATATTTTGTACGGTCAAATCAGTAAACAAGAAGATAGAAGTGGTAAATTTCGAGGAATCGGTTCGTCTGATCATAGCGTACATTTTTCAAATAATTTTGAATATCCTTTGTCAATCGTACCCCAGAATGTCATTTTATTCCTAGAATAAAAATCAATTTTGTACTCGTAGTCTCGTAAAGTTGTAATGAATAAAAAAAATAAACTCCACGCTCGTTCCGAAAAACAAAACACAAGAGGAAAATCCACAACCGATCAAAACTCTAGCAAAACGAAAATGGTCCCTTTTTTTCCATCAACGAGCAAACAGTAGTAGCTGCAAAAATAAATGGCAACAAATCGACGATCGGCAGTTTTTCGAAAGAATTACAAAGCGAATCTTTGCCTGGATCATCAAAAAAGATAAAAGAGCACAGTCAAGTGTACCGAGAGAGGGTATGCGTTTAAAATAAATAAAATGGCAAAATAAACGCTAGAGAGAGTATAAATATCTAAGACTCTCGAAGGCCATGTGTTTGCACTGGGCGACATAGACGCTGTATATATGTATAATACTGTATAGAAGGCCTGTTGTTTGGAGGGAAAATAAAACACAAGAGGGTGAGCGAGGAATTGAAGATGAGTAGCCGATCGTGTGTCTAGGATCTTAAATTATCGACCGATTTTCTTTTTTACTCTCGTACACGTACGCGATGGCCATTTTTTACCATCAGTGATAATATTGTGAGGTCTAAGATTTTTGACCCAGCGTTATTTTGTTTGTAATTTTTTTTTTTTTTTTTTTCTATGTTTGATACCTTAAAGAGATCAGTGGTAAAAATTAAAATTAAAAAATCGCAAGCCGAGCACACGAGTAGGAAAAAATGGTACCTGTATAAGCATAAAATAAAATCAGATGGAATCTATTGAATCGGATGTCAAATATCTGAAAACAAGGCTGGGATTGATTTTTAATTCTTAGGAATTTAACTTATTAAATATTTAGCTCGTAATTAAGAAATAAAATGTTGCAATGTCAAGATAAAATCATCATGTAATACATCATGCAAGTAAGTACACACGCAGTACAGTACAAAAATGTGTACCTGTTCCACTTATTGATTACTTAAGATAAAAAATCTCAAGGAAGCAATATCTTCATTGTATTATTTTGACATTAAAGCAAGTAGATAATTGTAAAAAGCAAAAAGGTCATTAATCATGAAAAAATAAAAAATAAATAAATAAATGATGAAAGATAAGTGCATCATTCATCAGCGCAAATAACATCCAACTATTGGAATCGTTTATAAAATACAAATATCCTTGCTATCGACGATCTGTTTAAACCGTAATTTTGCAATTTAATTGACGAGTTGAAAAAAGTAACGAGTCCTTGCTCAATTTGTGCGCTAATTGATGCATCGGCCGTTTTGAAGTAAAAATTCAAAGCCCAACTCTGACAGTAAACGATGGGGCGGTGATTGAAATTTTAATCCAAAAATATGTAAGAAAAAAAAAGTCCAACGTAAGCAAAGATCGGCTGGCTCAAAACTATTCCTAACCGAAACAGAGTTCATGACGAAACGGCAACACTGACCCATAGTAATAGATATACAGTATCTCAATCTCAATACACATCACCAACACACAACAAAGTTTCCCCGTCAATCGTTGGATAAACCAGCTGGAAACACGTGCAGATAAAACGAGAGAGAACGTAATATGTGTACAACATATACGAGGTGGGATGGTAAGAGTAATTTTACATTTGTACATATATATGTGACTATACACATATTTTGGTCGTTTATTAGAATTTGCTGGAAAGAGCGAAGAACGTGTTCGTAAAACATCACGCAATGAATCTGAATTACTGATATCATTTGCAAGTTTTTCGACTAATTGCTCTCATTCTGAAATGAATAATACATTATAGCTGTATTTATAGCTTCTGTTTGTGAGGTAGAGTATATAAATAGTATATATTATACCCATATTTTGGTATGGACGTTCACGGTAAGAATGAACACACTGTTTTTTTAACAATAATCAAATTATTACTGCTGAATCAATAATTTTTCTTTTTTGAATGAAAAGAAGAAAAAAAGTCATCCGATGATTAAACCACGTCTGCAAGCTTTACATATATGCCAAAATGGTCAATTTAATGATGTTTATGTGGTGATGTATGTATCATCCCCAGAAAACATTCCTTGACTTTTAGGGTTTCTCAACGAAAAAAGTGAATCGTCTTCAATTAGCGAAGAGAAGAGCAAAAAATTACGGAAACAGAACCCTCCAATGTATACACACACAGATAAACACGAATATGTAATTGTTGGAAGCAACGAGGGAGGAAAATAAAAAAAAAAGAGCGAGAAGCGTAATTGATCTACATTCAGTCTCTTGGCTCTCGCAGTGTCGACTCTTTTTTTTTTTTTTTTTTTTTTTCCTCCATCTGTCCCAGTGTGCGCGTGTTGGAGCTTTCTTATTTTGTTCAAGTTCAAAAACCACGACGCACATCGCTTTGCGTCCGAAACCTACACACGTGACTATTGACTCGACGAATCGAGCGCATGTGACACGTGAATTATCACGCCTCTATCGATCGCGAGCTTCTCCCCATGTAGCGACTTTTCGACGTCCCGGAGCGAGGGGTCGGTTTCTTTGTCTATTTTTCACGCTCGCTTTCGTCGGAGGTATTTCACAACCTTTTGCCAATGGCGATTAACTGGGGACACTTTTACTGTACTTATACTTACCCGAGATAAAGTTACGAATATTTTTTTTACAAGTGCTGGTTCGGATCCACTTATCCCGAGCTAGAGGGTATAATTCTGAATTTTTTTGACCAAGTTAAAAAAAAAAAACTATTTTTTTTCAAATGCTCTGCTCACCTTGTAATTGTAATTTGTAACTTGAAACGTTTTAAAATACTATGGATACACATGGATCTCGAATCTTAATATTCTTCCTTGCCCAGTTTTTTTTTTTTTTTTATACACGTGCCATGATAAAAAATGGGCGTAAATTAAAAGCTCGGAGGAGATTTACGCCGCTGATCGTTGAATTTGTTAACTTTTTTTTTTTTTATCAACGGGTTTTCCAATACGCGAAAGGGTACCATCGCAACTCGTAAATTACAAAAAGTAAAAAAAAAAAAAAAAAAAAAACGATCACAGCGAGCGGACAATTGGTAACTGATCTTGAATTGACACAGTGAAGGGGGAGGGTAAGCGTATCAACTGGCGATTCTCCGAAACATCGGTACACAAGTTGTTTATTTATACATCAGTACAGACACGCGTATGATTATAGAGCACAATAATCGCTCGGCTATTTACATGCGTATACACATTTCAGAGTGGCCATCTGTTATTTAACGCGTATAAGCATTATGAAACGCAACGATCATATTTAATATTTGATGCAAAAATGTTATTTTATTTATTTTTTCTTTTAACCCGATACAAGGCAATTGATATCGTATTGGATGCGGCAACGATGACTTTCTCACCTTGCAGAGGCCATTAGCAAAGCACTCGTTCTCTTTTGCTCGCCTTACGAGCCTCTTACGATTGAAGAAGAAGAGAAAGGGGGGGATAAAAAAAGAAAAATAATAAGCGCAAAGAAGAAACACAAGTGGAGAAACACAGTAGTGCCGCGAGAGAGAAAAGGCCTCGACCTTGACTCCTATCCTCCTCCTCCCACGCCCACCCCTCATTTGTACCTGTCCCCAAGCCCCTCCACGGATTGTGTGCATCTGTGTGTGTGTGTGTGTGCACTCAATCAAATTTCATCTCTGCACGGCAACGCCGAAATTCAAGCTTTTATCTGACTCCCCTTCCACCCCCCCCCCTCCCCATCTATACCGCTCGATCAATCTAGCGGAACGCGTGCACCTATATGTATGTACAAGAACAATATATGCATGCGCGTGCAGTACAGCACACGCACAGTGTGGCAGCCTATCCGGGGCATATTTGCATTCATGGGCGAATGAATTTAAAATCGAGCCTGGCTCGGGTGTTGAATGCGCGGAAAAAAAAACAAAAACAAATTTACGTGTATACGGCTGTGTTGACCGTATCGACATACATTGGGCGCCGTTCGATTGATCAAATAACTCGATCCCCCCCCCCCACCTTGATTTTTGTACAAAAAAAAGGTGGCCCATTGGTTTTCTATGTTGTATAGGTATACCTATAATTGGGGTTGCTCTCTGAATATTTAAATTGTCGCCGGGTTGTAAACGTGCTCCCATGGGTGAATTATCAATGAGAATAACTTAATTCTTCACTTTCGAGGAAAGTATGAATTTTGTATGCCTGTGTACAGGCGACAGACAAAACAATGGGAAGAGCGTTTTAACAGTGTGGGTCGCGAGCGGCGAGAATAACTTGGCGATTGTTATGCCCGACACGTGCTGGCTGCCCTGTACGTACTGTGCATTTTTTATTTCACGCGGTTCAGCGCTTTTGCGAAAGAGAGAGAGAGAGAGAGAGATATGTGCATACAATGTATTTGTTGCACTCCACCCGCGACGCGAACCATCCGATATTTATCTTGGCGGTGAACGAAACGTATATTGTTTATTTTCTTTTTCTTTCTTTTTTTCCTTTCAAGTTTCGTTGTCTAAGGACGAAATCGCGTATCATCAGCCCGAAATTCACGTCCACGACGCTATTCACACGAAAATCTTCCTGTTCTTCGTAATCAAACGGATTTTCAAAAGAGCGACGATATGATGCACGCGTTACTTTTCGGGGGGTCATACAGCGAGGAGGAGTCCTTGAAACCAGGCGCGCATTGTCATTTCCGAAAGTTTCGCACAAGTCGTTAATTACGGATTTATACAGTGCCCAAAACTTTCCATCCCCTGAGTGCACATCCACGAGAGGGAGAAATATAGAGCCGAGGAGGCGATATAGGTATACACATCCACGCAGCGATGAATCCGGTGAAGGTTACGTCAGAAATCATCTTTGCGGTAACGTCGGGTGGGCATAAACATTCGATGGCTAAGCCAAAACGTTCCCACGTCGCTTTTATGAATAATTAATGTACCCAAAGTACGGTGCACGAGGGCCAAGGTAAACACCGTCGGGTGCATCGGACGTGCCGAAAGCGAAACGTTTGATCGAGAAAAAAGTGGTAGTGCGTGGCTGTAGGCGCGCGTACCGATCACGCTTGGTGCAGGCTAAAAATAAGCCTTGGAAAAACAAACCTCCGTGAAATTCGCTCTCCTGGCGAGACTGGCAATGCGAACGATCGTCACTTTTCGGTGGATTTGGGGGAACAAAGGGGGAAAAAAGAACAGCCGTAAAACTGGGTTTTCCATCGGAAATCCCTCCGGGGCTCTGGTTGGGTTATACTCCCCATTGTGTCGGGCTTCACGAGGATCGCGATGTCGACTGGTGTACGACCGCGTTGGGGTCTTTTTTATTACATAGCTCCTTGATTTTTTGCATGTACCTATACCTCAAACTTACTGGTCACATTTGAGGGGCCACTACTTTGCTTGTAATATATATTTTTACATTTTATTAATCAATAAGCATCATTGCTTACGACTTGGAGAATTTGGCCAACGTAAATTTTTTCGCTCGTTTATTCAAAGTACCGTAATTTTGATAAATAGTTTACAAAAAGTTTAGCTTTCTATCAAATCCACTGAGTGCCAATTATATAATATGTCAAAGGACCAACAAATGGAAATATCATACATTTCGATTGTCACTAAATTTCAATGCAATCCTAATAACGAGTTAATTGATCGCGTGAAGATTAATCTTTTGAGTTGGAAGAAAAATAACGAAAATCCACAGCTGTAATGAAGTTAATCCTTCGTCAATTACGAGTGTATATATATATACGGACCAGCATGCGCGCTTCGTAAGTGTAAGCGTGTGGCTATTTTTGAAACTACGTTTATATGTATCCCACGGTTTACAAAATCCCATCCGACTGATTCGGCGCAGCGGGAAATCTAATTTTAAGGAGGCCCTGCTCAGTTTCTCGACTCGTTAAATTCGTGAGATAAGAGACAGAGCGTCGATGGGAACTCTCTCTCTTTTCTTCCTCCCCTGCATCATTAGACGTCAAAAAAGCAAGGAAAAAAAAAAAAGTAAAATTCTTTCGAGCCGTCCCCGATGATTTCGAGAAGAACTAATAGCCCAAGAGGAAAAAGAAGCAAGCCATCGGACCATTAAAATCCTCTCTCCGAAAGTCTCGAAAATTCATGCGGCTCCCACGAGCCCGACGAACGCTGTATCCTCCGAGGAATGCTAATTTCCTGCGTGGCACGCATACTCGACAGCTGTATATTATTTATCATATTATTCCACCCATGGGCGTAAAACACCATCGTTATTGTACCCGCTTAAAAAATCCAATCGCTCGATTTGGAGGCCAAACGCTAGAAAATAAAGAAGGGATTGAGAGAAAGAAAGATCAAGTTTAAGGTCTCGGGAGAACCGGCAGTTATTGCGTATCAATCGTGCAGTGTATACTTTTTCCATGTACTTACATAATACGCTAACGAGAATCATAGGCCTCTGCGTGACCGTTATGGGGGAAAAAAAAAAAAAAAAAAATCACGCAACGTGTATCAAGTATAATAACACGTGTACGTAATACGCGATATCACGGGAGCTGATGGTAGTGGGGTGCACATACGTGAGATTTCCGAAGCCTATGCGGTGTGTGTATTGGTGTATGTGGTTGATCCCCGTGTATGATCTCGTCGCTCGGCGGGTGACTCCGAGCTTTTGCTGGGCAAAAGGTCAAGAGGACACTGCCAACAGCTGCCGCTCGAGTTTCTCGAACATTTTACACGAACCTCTCTCTCTTGCTCGGTAGCACGAGGTTGCTCGCATACGCGTGTGTATATCATATATATATATATACATGGTACATCGTGGCTCGAGGGCAGTGTTCATTGATCACTTGGAGCCCTGCGATTATCTATTTTTTTTTTTTTTTTTTTTTTTCCTTCCAATGCAATGTTTTCAATTTGGTTGAAAGAATCGCGGTGACGTAGCGTACGGGATATACATGTGTATTGTTCACGAGTGTTACCGCTGAACGGCGGAATGTTTGCAAACACCGGCGGATTTTTCCGCGCTCAAGTGGCACTCGATCGGTTCCGACGATCGTCAGCGCGCAGGAATTTCGTTGATCACGCGGAAAATGAAACGATCGGCCGATACACTACTGCTCTCTTTCTCTGTCTGGAAATCGCAGTAGCGGTAAAAATCGAGGATTTTTTTTTTTTTTTTTTTCAACCGATCGATCGGTATCACGTGGAGTTTTCCACATTTTTTTTTTTTTTCTTTTGGTTCACAAAGTTATTATTTGCGATGGACACAGACTTTTACGTAAAATAAACTCATCCTAATTTATTTAATCATAAAAAGTCCCAGTTTTTGAAGTAAAATAGACAACACTATTGGAAATTCTCAAACTATTAATTGTTTTTCAGTGGGGGGGAAAAAAAATGAAACCAACGTACCAATCCCCTTTTGCAATCAAAATTTTTACTCACGTCTGTCACGACCGATTGGCAAACCAGAAATTCCAATGGAACGTTTTATATCCACGCGTACGCGTGTATCTCTACACGCACATTCGAAATATTCACCTTCGCGACGAAAACACTCGCATCCAATCGACACAAAAATATACACAATTCAAGCAAGCTTTCTTTATGAAAACGCACGTAACGATATTATTCGAATTTTCTATTGTTCATTGCACGATTTCTTCCGTGTACGCACTTCTCGCCTAATCATGAAGAAAAAACCACGATCGATGGAAGAAAAAAAAAAAAAAAAAAAACTAATCAAAGAGCACAAGCAAACGTGATTCGTCACGGCGATGTGTGATACGTATACAGAGTGGCACAGTCATGAGCGTCGAAGGAGAGTATATAGGCGTATGAAATCGTACACCGTAAGTGTATACGCGCCAAAGAAAAAGAAGGAGCGAGAGAGACGTAGCTGTTGTGGCCAATCAAATCGGATTAATGCGCGTATGCGTATAAGACGACGACGCTTATCGATGACTCTCTTTGGCAACCTTGTGTATACGTATCAAAGTAACTCTCGTGATTTTTTTCACCATAAAATTATTTCATCTCGAATCTCGAATTGGAGGGGGAGGAAAAAAAAAATGTGCGTTGATGAACGCATCGAGTATAATTTCGCGTCTAAAAATAGACAACGCGACCCATGCACCGAGAGCCACGCGCGCGCACATTACACAGAGACACCCAATGCCCCGTTTCCTGCGAAGGGCCCCCCTCTTCGTGGTGCCTGCGATTGATTTATATCCCGGCCGAAACTTTCGAGCCACGTAATATACCCGAGAAACTGTACGTATACATAAATGACGAATTTTTCCACGGGATAGGAGGGAGTGTACCCTCCTTCGTTGGTGAAGTATTGGGGAAAAAAAAAATAATTTTTTCCAATGACGAGGAGCTGAAACCTGTGTACACACAGCTGGAGTCGCTCCGACAACTATAATACACGGGAGATGGAGGCGGGCGGGAAAAAAAAAAAAAATTGCTGGCCGGCGTTTAGCTGCCCATAAAAGTTTCGCGTAGCTGCTTTATACAATCAAGAGTGTGCCCCGTGGGGAGCTTTCCAAGGGTAAATTGATTGATTGCAAAGCTTTCGAGACCGCGCTCTTGAACCTTTGTGCTTTTTCTTCCGTGGATCAATGCGTGAGTTCTTACCTACGACTGGGAGCGTGCTCCGGAGCTTCTCATCCCTTTTGAGCTTGCGATCGCCCGCGTCAACTCGAATCGGTTATCCACTTTTTGGGCACAAGAACAAAACAACGAGACGACGAATATACAGGT